GGGGGGGGGGGGGGGGGGGCTACCGAGCCAACGGGCTCTTGGGGGTCTTGCTGATGTATTTGTTGAGGCATCTTGCGAGGTTTGCCTTGCGGATGAGGTTCTTGCGCAGGGGGTAGGCGTTGCACACGAGCTCCCCCTTCAACACACGCTCCCAACAGATCACTGCACACATCCATCCATCCATCCGCACACACGTTCAGAAAAACACCCACATACATGATATGGTTGCCCGTGTTCTTGTGCGCACACGCACATTCGTATTCGGCCCATTGCAGCTTCACATCAGGGTCCGATGGCCTCATGTCAGGCGGGGCTCTCAGCATCTGCGACGCCCTCTTGCTGAAGCACCGCTCCACCAAATCGTGACGATACTGCAGCCATGCACCAACCACACACACACATACACACACACAGAGAGAGAGAGAGACCGAAGCGTACACACCTGACAGCGCCCATCTCTCCTCGTGTGGCTGCCTACGTTGCATGCTCCACTGTGGATGTAGAGCGGCAGGCGCCCCTCACTGCTGTTGTGACTCATCGAATCGACTTCCTTTGCTCCGGCACTTGCTCCTTCGCCACCATCCGTCATTCACCTCAGAGCGACGAGCAGTTTCACGAAATGTCTTAGGGAGAGAACTGCGAGCTTGCTGGGAGAGGAGAAAGAGGATAAAGAGGACCGAAGCACCTGCCTGAGGCTTCCCTTGAGCATCCGCGGCCAAGATCCTTGCGTTGATCGCCAGTTTTAGTGACTCGGCATCCCATGCAGTCGCTGCCATTCACATCCGGCCAGTCGTAGGAGCTGAGAGTCCGCGCAGCTGGCGGCCGGATCCCGGCAGACCGTTGCGCCAGGTGCGGCAAAAACGACGCGTCACTCGGCAGCTGCACGCAATGCAAAGTTTTGCAATACTGTGGCAAGGAGTGCCAGAGGAGTCATTGGAAGGAGAAGCATAAGTGAGTCAGTCAGCTAAGTATGCACCACGACGGATGCATTTTCATCGTGCTGTGTGCACTTTCTTTTGTTTCTGTGACAGGTCTGAGTGCCGGTACCTCGGTCGCCTCTACGAGTCAGCTGGTGAGCTCTATCACAACGCCAAGGTCATCAAGTACGCCATGGGCTACATGCCGGAGGACCACTACCTCCTCATCCAGCGGGCCAGGGTCAGGTCTACTTGATGGCAGCCTCTAGATACTCTTATGCCCGTGAGTGTGTGCGCGCGCAGGAGGCTGAGATCTTCGAGGAGGTGCGTCAGAACGGCATGGACCAGATCGTGGAGCCGCTAGCCGCCCAGCCGGGCAAGATCGTTCGCATGACTGTCGAAAGTGGGTGCGCCGCGCTGTCTTCATATCGCCACATGAGGCTTGAGCTTCACAGCGCCAGCAAACCTTCACGAAGGCGCACTCCCGTGGCCGGCGCGGCGGGGCAAGGTGATCCACAAAAAGCGGTCAGGTACAGTAAGCAAAGAAAGAAGAATACGTATGAGCGCCGCTGTCTTGTTTGATGCATGTATGAATGACGTGTGGGGTGTGGTCTTTTGGATGTGACGCCTTGGTGGTCCCTTCCGCAGCTATCTGACCTTCCGTGTTGCGCCCTTCTCCATGGTCGACCCAGGAATCAACAACATGGTGACCTGCATCGCCGCGTTCAAGGGCAACATAGCCCTGGGAATCGGCAATGTCTCGGCACCGCCTCTCTCCGAAGAGTCAAAGATGGGCATTATCTTCAACTGCCAGCTGCTGCTCAAAAAGGTCGTCGACGACATGCTGGAGCTCGGCAACTCTCGGCATGGTGCGAGGGTGATTCCTGACTTCATCTTCCTTACCACAACAGGACCTTGGGACGTCCTATTTTGGATGGTATGTCGCAAGGTGCCGGGCTGAGGAGGGAGACTGCGTGTGTGTCGATGGTTTCAGAAATTTGCCACCAGTACCAAGCATATCACCCAAAACATCCCCCGGAGATGCTTTTGGTACGTGATGCCGCATCCGATGGTGGTTTGCCGCGACGCCGTCTTCCGCGCGTGTGAGAAGCTGTTCGGCCAGCAGGCGGCCATCGGCATCTTCGACCGTGGCGTCGATTGCGCGTTTTCTTCCCTACTGCACAACGACCCAGCAAAGGTGAGGAGGGATGGAACCTGGCTGCAGGTATGTCTGTCTGTCTGTCCGTGTGTAGGTATTGTTTCGGTCTCGGTGGCGGGAGACTATCGTTTATCACATCAACAATGACCACATCTCCAGCGGTGTGCGACAGTCGTGTGTCGACAAAGCCACCGAGGTGGGTGAGTGGCTTCATCTTGGCTGGCTGGCCCTCAGCGCATAGCATATGTGAGCTCATTGTGGCTGATTGATTGATTGTGGCTCAGAGAGGGTGCGCTGCCGAGGTCATTGGCGAGGAACTCATCGAAGAGGCTCTCCGGTTCACCGACCTCTTTCGACACAACGTACGATACGAAGGCACACACAGACGGTCCACTTATTTTACCTTTCTGTATGTTTTCTCTGTATGTGTGTGTCATTCATTCAGCTGCTCGAGTATCTGACGGACGGAGGCAGCTGCGACACCTCCGAGACGACCTACCTGCGGGTCCCCTTGGCGCACTACTTCAGCATCACTGAAGGCCAACTCAGAGGCATCATGTCAGTATGTATGCCACACACATACACACATACCAAAGACGCCACTCAGTCAGTGTGTCCATGTGATGTGCAGAGCCGAGCTCGACGCGATGGATCTCGAGTATCCGGCTGACATCCAGGAGCTGATGGCGCTGCCGGTGCCCAACGACCAGTGCCGCAGCTCGTGTGAGTGCGAGCGCGTCATGGGCAGCGAGGTGGTGCTGGCCGACGGCCACGTCAGTAGACAGCTGACGGTGCAGCTGCACATGCATGGACTCATTCCCCCGCAGAGCCTTTAGCTTGAGTAGTGTGTTGATACACATCTATCAGTGCACTTGGAAGACATAGTTGTTGAATTAATTAACGGTGTCACGATTGAATGCATGTCTTAGCAGCCAGAGAAAGTGCGTCTCAGGTAGGTCTTGGGCAGCATCGATTGTGGGCGGGAGGGTGGGCGGGAAAGCTCCACACACTGACGGATGGATGGACGGAAAAAGACCCACAGCACCACACACAGGCAGACACACACCCAGACGGGCAGACAGCCACCACACACCACACACGGACAAAAGCACCAAGCCACACAAATATATAAGAAGGCATACAGGGCAGGCAGCCATGTTTGTTGGCATTCACAGCCTCACGCGCACTCTCACACACCAAACACACCAGACAGACACAACTACTGCTGACATACACACACGAGAGAATCATGACGGACGGAAGAAACCAATGTCACCAAAACCAAAAACACCGCGGGACGCTTGACGCCTGTGTGCTGTGTGCCTGTCTGTCTGTCTGCCTGCCTGTCTGGTCTCTCTGTGTCTCTCTCTCAACTCAGCTAGGCAAAGATGGCCTGTTCTTGCTTGCGCAGCTGCTGCTGGGGCTGCTGGGGCTGGTGTGCTGCTGCTGTTTGTGCGGCCAGATGAAGTCCATCAGAGAGAAGATCGGCGCGTGCTGGACGGCCGTGCAGGTGCTCAAGGTGTCGCACGGCTTGGTGGGGTCGCACCAGTCGGGCAGCTCCAACACCGACTTGTCCAGCTTGTGCGTCAGTGAAGAGGGGTCGAACACCTGCACCGATTCACCCACACACATGACATCCATCCATCCATCCACCCATCCATTTGTGTGACAGCGCATGCAGCTCAGCTCAGCTACCTGTCTGTCGTTTGGCTTTTGGAAGATTTCGAGGAGTGTGCCGTCGAGGGCCTCGTACACGACGTTGTCCTGGTTGCCCTTGACCACCCACGAGTGGGCCTGGATGGTCGTACCTATGCCATGGACCCAGGCACACAGACACACACACACACACACACACACATATATATATATATATATATGTCCACAATATATATATATGTCCACAGGTGCGTGTGTGTGTGTGTGTGTGTGTGCATACCGTTTCTCAGCACATAGGGGGCCTCTCCCGCCTGCACACACACACACACACACACACGACGTACGTGTAGGGGTGGGTCTGCGTAGTAGCTACGCGCGTCCGTACGTATTTGGCTTGTTCGGCCCAGGTGGGTTTGAGGATGCCGCAGCCGTGTTGGTCGTCGCAGCACATGCAGCACTCGCGCTTGTCAGTGTACAGCATGTACCGCGTCCCGTTCACCTGAACGAATCCATCCATCCAGCCAGCCATCCATCGGCTGCACGACACACATATGGCCGGTTGCTCAGGTGCGTACCACCAGCTGCGAGCATGGGGTGTCTTCGAAGATCTTGTGGCCGTTGGGACCTGCGCAAGGCCGCCAGGTACGCAACACATACACACACGGTGTGGGTGTCAATCCATCCATCCATCCATCTGTCTGTCTGTCTGTCTGTGCGCCCACCGCAGTATCGGTCAAATCTGCCATTGGCCCGATCGACGCGATATCGGCGGGAATGCCAGTCTGCAGACACACACACACACAGGACACACACACACAGGTATGGTCCACCCATGTGGTCCCCTCTGTGTGAGTCTCTGTCTGTGCGTTATACCTACCGTAGGTGTACACGCCCGTCTGACAGAAGCAGCCGCACGCACAGAGAGAGATGGACAGATAGATAGACAGACAGACAGACGTAGCGTAGCGTAGCCCAGTGACAAGTGCAGTGCAGTGCATCAATCATGCGCACTTGCACTTACCGTGGTCTGCACGAACGGCCCGTAGATGAACTCCTCATAGAACTCCTGCCAAACGAATGCAGCAAATAATGCGGCACATCGCGATATACAGAAGAGGCCCACCACGCTGTGCGTCTGTCTGTCTGTGTGTGTACAGACAGCTGCCTCGTTCGTTCGTTCGTCACCTGTGCGAAGACTAGCGACCATGCGAAGGCCGGCTCGGCCGGAACAGGCGACGGATCAGGCCCACTGAATGTCACAAACCAAAACACACACAACGCAACACCAAGCAACACCACACCACACACATATGGGCAGCGTCTGCGGTGCGTTCGCATGTCTGTCTGTCTGCGCATGTACGCGTCTATCGTGACGGTACCCTACCCGTGCCGGCCAGCCGCGCCCATCATCACGGGAGCCAAGACGGCGAGAATCACCAGCAGCCACGAGGAGGATGCCATTAATCAATTGCGGGTAGGAGGCAATTGATTGATGCTGCCGGGCAACAGAAACACAGAGAGAGAAGGAGCAGCGTCATGATGTATGTCATTTTGGGACGGATGGATGCTTCACTGCTCAACTTCTCACCCTCCCTGATCTTACTTCAGCGCCTGAAGTCGGCGTGGAAAATCGGCAATCGAAATGAGAGATCTACCGCTTCTGAGTCGATGCCTAGGTAAGGAACTTTGGCCTTTCCGCCGAATGCTGCGAGAGATCGCTCCCTCACTCTGAGCTCGCAAACTCACCCCTGCTGCTGCTGCTGCTTCTGGGGAAACCGCTCTCTCTGCTTCTGGGTGCTCCCTGAAACCGCTGCTGCTTCTGTGTGCTTTTGTTGTTTTGGCAAGATGGGCATTCTGGAGGTATCTATCTACAGCAGTGGCAAACCTGAGTCATTGATTCATCTTTCTGTTCATCTGGCTATCGTTTGTGTGTCCGTGGTGTGCTCTCTGCCACCAGAGGATCAAGGAGATAGAGGCCGAGATGGCGAGGACGCAGAAGAACAAAGCCACCGAGGTGGGGGAGTGGGATGTGTGTGTCGGACGCAAACACACCCACCAGATAGATCTGCCGGCGCCACGGATGCAGCCAGCCATCTTTCTCATCTTCCTGCTTGCTATGCAACGTTGTGTGCGCGTGTAGGGGCATCTGGGAAGGCTCAAGGCCCAGCTGGCGAAGCTGAGGTGCGCGCACCCTCGCCCTCCCTTGCACTGTCTGTTCGTTGGTCTGTGCGCCTGGCTTGTGTGTTGCAGGTCGCAGTTGCTGGAGCCTTCGTCAAAGGGCGGTGGCAAAGGTGAGGGCTTCGACGTCGGCAGATATGGCGACGCGCGGGTCGCACTCATCGGATTCCCATCGGTAAACAAAAACAGACACACACAGACACAGACACACACACACACACACACACACACAGAGAGAGAGAGAGAGAGAGAGAGAGACGAGGCCCATGTGCGTGTGCAGGTGGGCAAGAGTACCTTGCTGAGCAGGCTGACGGGCACCGAGTCCGAGGCGGCTGCCTACGAGTTCACGACGCTCACGTGCATCCCGGGCGTCATCTACCACAACGGTGCCAAGATCCAGCTGCTCGACCTGCCGGGTATCATCGAGGGCGCCGCAGAGGGGCGCGGGAGAGGCCGGCAGGTCATTGCCGTGGGCAAGTCGGCCGACCTGGTGCTCATGGTGCTCGACGCGACCAAGGACGACAGCCAGCGGCAGAGATTGGAGGCGTACGTGTGTGCGTGTATGCGTGTGTGAGGGAGGATGGCTGGATGGATGGATGGAATATGTATGTTCGGTATGTTGTGTGTGTGGTCTGTGTGTGTGTGTTTGCTGGTCTGTCAGTGAGCTTGAGGCTGTGGGCATTCGGCTGAACAGGCGGCCGCCAAACGTATGGATGCATTGAATCACACCAGCACGGGAGAGGAGAGGGGGCGAGGGTCTCTCATGTGTCTGTGCGTGCTAATGTGTGTCCACTTAGATATACTTTCGTCCCAAGAAGACCGGCGGGATTCACTTCAACGCCGTCGTGCCGCTCACACGAGTACGATCGACACGATGACTGCAACGGCACTCTCGTGTGTATGTGTGTTGGTGTGTGTCCGTCAGCTTGACAGCAAGACGGTGCAGCTGGTGCTGCATGAGTACAAGATATTCAACTGTGACGTCGTCATACGCGAAGACTCCACGGTACGGTCGGCCGGCAAAGACCCCGCACACACACACTCACACACACGCAGACAGACAGACAGACAGACAGACAGGGGTGAACTGGACATGTGTGTTGTGTGTGTGTGAAGGCTGATGACCTGATTGACGTGATAGAGGGCAACCGCAAGTACGTCAAGTGTCTGTACGTCTACAACAAGATCGACTGCCTCACACTCGAACAAGTCGACGAACTCGCCAGAAAGTACACGCCACCGCACCACGCGACACACGTCCATCCGTCCATCCGTCCATCCATCCGTCCGTCCGTCCATGGCTTTGTCCACCCACCCATCTGTGTGTCCACCAGGCCGCACACAGTGGTTGTGTCATGCCACAAGAATTGGAACCTCGACACGCTGCTCGAGTGCCTCTGGAACGACCTCGAGCTCGTCAGGGTGTACACCAAAAAGAGAGGTGCGGTCGGAGTCACCCACCGCAAACAAACCACGTCAATCAACTTCAGCCAGCCGCACGCCAGCGCAGTTTTGGTTGTGTGCATGCCCTGCCCTGCCCTGCCCTGCAGGTCAGTTTCCTGACTTTTCTGAGCCCATAGTTCTGACACCACAGCGAGGTAGGTAAGACCTACCTACCTGTGTGTGTGAATGCATGTATCGATGACGCCTGCACCTCTGCAGGTGATGGGACAGTCGAGAACGCCATCAAGATGATACACAGGGTGCGGTGGGCACGCACACACACGCACACACCGAGAGAGAGAGGCGGGCGGCTGTGTGTGGTGGTGTCCCGGGCGTGGCGCGTCATGAATGAATGTGTGTGTGTGTGTAGGATTTGATGAAGGACCTCAAGTACGGCATCGTGTGGGGCCGGTCGACCAAACACAATCCACAGAGAGTCGGCACGGGTAGGTCATGTGTGTACGCAGAAGGGCAGGTTAGGTAGACAAGCAGGCGGCACTTGGCTTGACGATATAGCTAACCACGTGTGCTGTCACCTGTGCGTGTCATGCTGTATACAGGTCACAAGTTGGACGACGAGGACGTGCTGCAGATCGTCAAGAAATTCGGGTAGTAGCGAATATATTGAGGCCTGGCAAGCAAGTGAAGTGATCCGACGTGTGGTTGTTGCTGAGCCAGCGGGTGGCTAAGAACGAGGCGTCGTCCTGTCTGTCGAGGGGAAGGCCTCAGTCTTAGCTTCTCGATGGCACAGTGAGAGCCCACGTTGGACAGGTGTGTGTACATATTCTTGCAAGCATCACACTGATACCATCAATGTCTTGACGTTCGCCTCACAATGACTGAATGAATGGTCCAGCATGAACCTCTCTGACGTCTTATCGACACCCCGGCTACCTTGGCACCCACCCCCCCAGGCACCTCCCTCACGTTTGCAGTCTGATCGACGACGGTCTTTCACCCCATCAATCAAATCAGCCCATTCCTTCAATCGACAGCACCCGGCACGACCTCGTGCCGCTTGTGTGCGCGCGAGTGAGCCACCACCATCATGTCCTGAATGAATGCAGCAAACCAAACCATCCACGTGTGTGTCTGCGCATCCGTGTGTGTCGGCGACGTCGCTCACGATGGTGTATGGTCCTGCAGTCATCTCAGACACCACACATGGCCTGAAGACCCACACACACACACACCACATGACGACATCTCCCTGTCTACAAGTGTGTATCTGTTGCTCACTGGTGTGTCGTCTCCTCAATCTCCCTGGACGCCTTGACGACCATCGCCCACACGTCGCGATGAGCAGCGGACGATGCGGGCGGCCTCATCGGCGCGTCGCCGAGCGATCTGATGAGAGCCGATGCCGCGCCGAGACTCTCCAGCCTTAGACACCCAACACCAACAACACCTGATCAAAGAGGGACAGGCAGACTGCTCGTCAGTCAGCACTTACATGCACTTCCTTACCTGCTGCCGGTATGTGCGTGCGGGTGTCCGCTTCTGGCTGGCAAACTGCGCCATTGCCCGCGGCGCACTCTCCCTCTCCCTCTCTCTCTGTCCAGGCATATCGGCGGTCTTGCCACACCGAGAACCGCCGGACAGACTCGCGGACACCAGCCTCGAGAAGCACACCACCACCACCACCACCAGCAGCAGCTCCATCCTGTTCCTCTGTTCTTGCCTCCTCAGACAAGGCTCTGCGCATGGCCGCCGTGATGCCTTCAGCTATTCCCAGCTGGACGGCCGCCAACACAGTCAGCAGGGACCGCCTCTCCGTCCCACCAGCAGCGGCATCGCCTCCATCACGGCCCTGCGTGGCCGTCTTTTCCCACTCTCCCAGGGCTCTCTCGACCAGTGGGAAGAGGAGCGGCACTCGGATCATGGTCTGCAGCTGTGAGGGCTGTGTGTGGCCTCTGTGTAGGGCCATGTGTGGCGGGGCGGTGGGTGCGTCGGGGGGGAAGGGGAGGGCCGCGAGCAGGTGGGGGCTGCAGAGGGACGCCATGCACAGCTTTATCAGCTGGCGGTAGTCGAACTGGCCCTGAGACACAGAGGTGTGTGTGTGTGTGTGTCCGTGTTTTGGTGTGAGTTGGTCTCCCAATTTGCTCCCCATGCATACCAGCCTTAGAGCGACTTGTCCTTGGATGAAGGCGGTCATGTGCAGGTTCAGCGACCATGACGCGCGGCTCCACGGATGCAACGAGCTGCACAGACCCAATCAACACACACACATCCATCCATCCATCCATCCGTCCATCGGTCCATTACCTGTCATTTCTCCACTCGTGTGCAGCGCCATAGGCATATCGTTCCATCTGCCCCATCTTGCTGCACGCATGTGCCACCTGCGCCAGCATGGAGCCGCTGAGAGGGACGATCGGGTTCTTGTTCCCGACGTGGTGCTTCAGCAGCTGCCGGCTCATGAGCATGCGCAGACAGGGGTCGTAGTAGGACACCTCACACAGAGCCACCAGCAGCAATGCAGCGGCCTTCTGGTCGAAAGAACTGCACAGCTCAGGGGAGGGAGAGCAAGAAAGAAGTCGCTCATTCCCCCCCTCCCCCCTCCCCCTCTCTCTCTGTGTGTGTTTCCCTTTTCTCACGTGTGGCATTCCTTCGTGCGCTCGGCCAGAGTGCGGAAGAGCCGCATGTCACTCGGCCGGTACCTTGCGAACGCGGAGGCAATGTCAGCGATGCTCTGGGGCGTCAGTTCGCCACACACATCACCCTGCCGAATGCGCTGCGACAGCCGCCCGAATAACACCCCCACAGACGACTCAAACCGCTGACGCACCTCGTGCGGCAGGTGGTCTTGTTCGTGAGGTTGGCTCATCGACAGTCGGCGGAACGAGTTGCAGAGGAAAAACACGTCAAGCGCATTGAGCCGCTCGCTCGACCCGGCGAGGCGTGAAGAGGCCAGGGCAAAGAGATCCACCACAACCACCGCCGCGCTTTGTCCATGATGGGCAACGACCTCCATTCTCGCAAAGGCATTCAGCAGCTGAGTCAGCTCCGCAACCTTGAAAGCGCCAAGCATTCCCCCGGCCCTCTTGGCGCTCTCCACGAACAGCGAGATGCTCTCCCGTGTCCGGTGGTCCCTCTGCGCCAGACCGGCCAGCACCATTGTCAAAGCAGAGGGGGGAAATTCAGATAGACGTGCCGCAGCCACGCCACAGAGTGCGTCAAGGAGAGGGTGGTTGCGGGCGGCCCTGGGCACCTTGGCCAGCGCATTCATGACGAACCCCATTGCGAGCGGGGAGAGCTCCACAAGCAGCCCGTTGCCGAGGAGGTGGTCGCACGCACAAGGCCAGAAGCGGGAGGCCTCGAGCGCTCTCACGCGAGAGAAGGCCTTCATCACGCTGACCAGGTCCCACTTCTCGAGCGTGTCGACGTCCAAAGCACGGTGTAGCCGAAGCAGCTCGCTGGTGTCATTGCGTCTGCTCGCCGCCTCCACCTGCTCAGCAAGCTCTCGCGAAGACGATGATCCAGCCGATGCAGCCACGACCATTCTCCACTCCTCTGCGCGAGCCGGCTTGTTTTTGCGGCTCTTGAACCGCCTTGGCCTCTGTGCAGTGGGAGAGGCAGAGATGACTCTTGGCGTCAGCTGTGCGACGTGATGATAACTGCTGTCGTGTGGATGATCTGCATCATCTGCAAAGGGATCTCCCGCGTGGCATGGTTGGTCCGGGATGACTGGGGTGCAGACGGCCAGCGGCGCAAAGCCTCGCATCTGCTGCAGCACGGCGCACAACACCTCCCTCGGCAAGCGCCGCAGATGCCCCTCCTTCATCGCCAAATCACCGCGACCTCGCTCTAGATCAAAGCGGCTCCTGAGCTTCCGCGAAGCTCCACAACGCCGCAGCGGCCGCAAAAGGTGCCCATCTTGAATGCGAGCTGAAATGATGGCGACCAAGGGCTCGCAAGAGGCAATCAGGCGGGAATGCGTGAAGGAGGGCCTGTGCCATCGCCCCGTGTCCGTGTGCGTGCAATAGAGCCCGCTTTATAGTAGATCCGGCCTTGTGCACACCCTTGTCGAGGCGGCAGGGGCTCTCTCGGTGCTCGCGGCGTCTTGCGAGGCGAGCACCCGTCGGCTGAGGGCACCACACCGCCACCGGCAAAAGAGACGGCAACCGGACAGCAGCAGCAGAGTAGACAGATCACCCCACAGAGAGTGAGTGTCCCGACTGACTTGGTGAGTGCGTCTGCCACTTACTGCGGCAGACTGATCCATCCCTCATGGCGCGCGGCGACGAGTCGGTAGTGGTGCTGATGCGGTGCATGGAGAGGCATTATCGCAAGAAGAACGACGTGGCCGACGGGGCGGCGGTGTCGGTGGACGCCCTGTGTGAGTGGATGGTGGGGAGGGAGAAGGCGCGGCCCGACGGGCGGACCATCGAGTACAAGACCTTCAGGAAGATGTGTGAACTCAAGGCATTCAGAGAACTGGTATGTCAGTCAACCACACACACAGAGGGAGGAAGGGAGGGAGAGGGATGCATGTCATGATGTGGCCAACTTGGGTTCTTCATGTGTTGATTGGATTGATGTGGTGGTTTGTTCAGGTGCGTGACCCATCGTCTTCGACCGAGACGCACGTGCGCATGGTGTGGCAGCAACTCAGCGGCGAGGACGACCTCGTCCCCCTCCTGCACATCGACACCATCAAAGCAGGTAGGTCCAGTGCAACACTGACTGACATTCAGCACCCACCCACCCATCGATCCCCCTCCCCCTCCCTGTCTGTCTGTCTGTCTGTCTGGCAGAGTTCGAGCGTGTGCGTCAGCAGCAACAACAGCAGCAATACCAGCAGCAGCATCACTTTAACCACCCCCACCACTCCCTCCCGGCTCACCCATTCCCCCACCCTCTCCCTCCCCTCCCCGTGCTGCCCCCCCTCCCACCCAACGCCTCCCCTGCCGGGGAGGACCACTGCGACCAAGACATGAGTGGTGGCAACCACAATCACAACAACAATGCCTCGACGCCCAGCGCGCCGAGCTCATCCGTGAAGCGTGTACGTGACGAGTTGCGGGAGGGAGATGGGGAGGGGGTGGGCGATGGGGAGGCTGCAGAGGGCGAGGAGGGGCTGGAGGTGGGCATGGAGGCCGACGAAGGTGGGTGCAGACGGAAGTCTACACAACACAACATCTACCGGGAGGCACCTGGGCGCCAGCACACACATCTGCGCCTCCTTCTGTCTGTCTGTCCGTCTGTCTGTCTGTCTCGCGTGTGTGTGTCTGTTGGTGCGCAGAGGACCCAGTGCATGATCAGCCGGAGGAGGATCAGGCAGAGGAGCAGCCAGATGAGGCAGATGCCGCCGAGGGGGAGGGGCAGGGGGAGGGCGACGCAGAGGACAACAACAGCAGCGACAGAGACAGAGAGCGAGACCACAGCAACAACAACAGCCTCCTGGACGAAATCGACCAAGAGGCTCGCGGCGACATCAACACGAATACCCACCCCGAAGAGAACGGCACTAATGCTCACCAGTCCCGACGCAGGTGAATTGGGTGCGGTGGGTGCGTGTGTGGGACACAGAGCACAACACGGAAATCAGGCCAACCATCCCTCTCTCTCTGTGTGTGTGTGTGTGTGCATGTGTGTTGTCAGGAAGCGCAAGGCCAAGAAGGCGGGCAGCGACTCGGCCCGGAGCGGGCCATCCCAGCACCAGCAACCACAGGCCAACAAACACAAACGACCCAGAATCCGGTACACACACCTTCCCTTCCTGCCCGCACCCATCCATCCATTTCTGTCTGTCTGTGCGTGTGTGCAGCCACGACCCCGGTGCTGGTCCAGCCGGCAGCCCCATAGCGTCACCTCTAGGACCACCACCACCGCCAGGGCCGCCAGCGCCGCCGCTAGCACTGCCCCTAGCCCTACCAGCAGCAGCTGACAACGCCTCCATGGCCGCCGCAGCTGCAGCTGCAGCTGCAGCCGCCATGGCCGGCATCCCGATGCCTATCTTGAATGAAGGCGTTGTGGCTCCAATGATGGGCGGAGTAGCACCAGGCGCCTCTCATGGTGCTGGTGCTGGTGGTGGGGGCGGCGGCGATGGTGGGGCGTGTTTCCTGGGTGTGCGGCAGCCGATCGACGCTGTCGTGCCGATCGGCCTCCACGCTCAGGGCCTCAAGGAAATGGGATTCGTCAGTAAGGACGGACACAGAGAGAGAGGGAGGAGCAGAGAGACAGAGAGATCAGCAGCACACGTGTGTGTGTGTGTGGTTGTGTGTGTGTGTTTGCTCGAGTGCAGAGGCGCGTCAGATGAGCCACGAGGGCAATAGCTTCTACGAGGCGTTTGTGGGGGCGTATTTCGATGCGGTTGTGGAGAGCGGCAGCAACGAGCTCATGCAGCGGTTCCTGCAGGTAATGCGTCAGTCAGCTATTGTGTGAGAGGGGGCTCATGAGTGGTGTGTTGTGCCCACCGCTGCGCAGGTGCTGCTTTCGCTGAAGGAGCTGCTGCAGATGTTTCCCGGCTCACCGAGATGCGTATGCCTTCGTGGACACACCACACCACACCCCACACACCGACCGGGGCACATGCATCATGCTCACATTTCTGCAGACCCTCCGTCCACTGACTGCAATGCACTGTCTCTCTCTGTGTACTGGGCTGTGCTGTGTGTGTGTGTGTGTGCGCAGGTGAGCGATGAGGAGCTGTCGTGGTTTATCTACATGGTCCAGGTGTGGGCCCAGATGATGCACGAGGCCACCAACCACCAGGACAAAATGTAACCCCCCTCACACACACACACACACACACAGACATACACACACGTGCACATCCTGGTGTGTGTTGTGTATGTTGTGTGTTGTGTGTTGTGTGCTGTGGTGGTCAGGATGCTGCTCGAGTACCAGATGATCGGTTTCTTCAACAGCGTCTACGGCAACAAGGTCGTCGTCAACACCATGAGAGAGATCACCGCACAGATGCTCATCATCCACCACGACGTAGGCACTCACTC